CAGGGCCACCATATTTATAAAAATAGGATGATATGCCGTCAGTACCGAAACCTTTTGAGCATTTTAGGGTTCTTATAGTTTGTTTAATGTTAGTATAGTTAAATTCAACAGTACTAATTAAGTTTGGTGTGTGTGGAGATGGAGTTTGTGCCACATTAGTAGCAGGGTGTATATTGAGTAACTGGACTGTGGGCTTAAGGTAGTTACCTGCAAAAGTTGAGTTAAATAATTCACACATGTCTGCGGAATTAGTACATAGCCTACCTTTGTCTATGAGGAGGGAAATGCTGTGATTTTTGCGATTCATTCGCTTCTTTAAGATTTCCGTGAGTGCATACACTCTAGCAGGACTGGCTACTGCGATGCGTTCTTCGTTTCTCATACGGAAATTTCGAGCTTGTGAGATGGAACTAAGGGTGTTAAGTATTAAACCTAGTGTGCCAAAGTCGTGGTGTTTGAAGTAACTTGTTGAGAGTTTCTTCAATTTCATACGATCCTTTGGTTTTATGAATGACTTCCTATGTGGGGAAAGCTCAAGTGTTTGGAGTGGAATGACAGCATCTAAGCATGTGTTGGAGTTATGGTAGAAGATGCTCAGAGCTCGCGAGAGGTCATCAGTAGTGAAGTACTCTCTCCATTCTGAGGATCTTAACATTGATTTCACTAAAGTCCAGTCTGCCTTACTGTAGTTCCTGTAAGTTATTTGTTGTGAAGTAGGGGTATGGGCTGCATTGCTATTTGACGGAAGTGGCAGTGCACACAGCACTGTTTTGTGGTCACTCCCTGGAAACTCAGAACCTATTAGGGTAGAAAGGGGACTTATATTGTGGCAGAAGATTAAGTCTAGTACGTTATTACCTCTTGTTGGGGTTGTGACAGTCTGTTTCCAGCCAAGTATATCCAGTGTGCCCAAGAACTTATCAAATTTAGTTGGGCCTGTGGGTATATCCCAGTTGATTTCTGGTAAGTTAAAGTCTCCACATAGGATCTTATGATCGTAGTGTAGGGAGGATAATTGTTCCACAGTATTAATAAGTTGGGTCTCGTAATTACTAAAGGTACCAGGTGCTCTGTAGGTGCATCCAATTAATACCATTGCGTTATTTAAGTGTAAGTTAACCCATAAAGTCTCAGGCATGTTAAGTGTACCACTTTCGCGCCGTGATACAGTAAGTGCATTCAGAAAGTACATGAGACAACCCCCTCCCTTACCACCTTCCCTGTCACACCGAAAGTGTGTATAGTTATCTAAGCTTATCTCTTCATCCAGTATGTTAGAATTACACCAGGATTCAGTGATGACAATTATAGGGGGTTTGTATATTACTGTGAGTGCTCTGAGCATTGGCAGTTTATTTAGGACAGATCTAGCATTTATGAGGATCAAGTAAAGATGAGATTTGAAGTAGCATTTGAAGTATTTAAGTTCGTTAATCGGCCCCGAGTATGGTTCAGAACCCAGTAGCACTGTTTGGCATGACGACCCTATGTTAAGAGGAGTTTCAACATCATGCTCATCTATGTCTATCGAGTTGGTGTGTGCCATTTTCGGTAAAGAATTGGGTGTTGGAATACTGGATTTGATATAGGCTAAGGCGTTTTTATTTTTGGTTAGGCTAGAAACGTGGATAGGGATCTTTATTTGACCTAAACTTGTGCATGTATCAAGTGTGCTTAATGGATGCGGGTGAACTAGACTGTTCCTATATTCATGCAAAGGGGGAGCCAGCATTAACGGTTTAGGAGTGTTAACATCTCTACCAGCTGTTTTTTCCACACTGACAGGGACGCAGGGGATAAAAAATGATTAGGACCTTGTGGAGACCATGGTTTATTATTCGACCTATTGTTAGGTACTAGTTGTGTCCTTGTATGGGTTTCGTGTGTATTACTTTGTGGGTTAGTTCCCAGCAGACTTGTACCATATATCCGATCAAAATTTATTTGTGTTCCATACTGTGGATACCCTGAGTTGTTGGTGGTCGAGTTCTGACTATTGCCACTTGTACTATTGAGGGAGGCATTGTTGTGGCGTTGGTTATCAGTGTGGGCCATGGTGCTATTTCGCACGTTGTGGGTGCCAATACTATTGACCGTGGGAGATATGGGCTTATTTATACTGCCATTGTTGTTGGCATGATTTGGGGTCATATTCTCCTTTTTTTACCAATGGACTTATGGACAGGAGAGGACAGGGCCGACTTTCGGGGGATTTTGACTTTTTTCCGGGATTATTTGGCGACATGTCTATATCTACGGTGGTAGGCGGTATAGTTTTATTGGCTATTTGATTACAATTTAGTAGCCTTGCGGCTGGTGTCTCTCTCTGAGAGGATAATTCTGTGTGGTCTGAGAGGGATGGTGCGGTGGATTCTATGGTATCTCTTATAGGGTTGGGCAAAATTGCTGCTTGCAATGTCCTATTGTTTATTCCACAATTAGACTCAGTAAGATGATTGCATACGCGCCTTTCTATGACTGTCTTGTCCACTGCAGCCTTTATTAGTTTGTAATTTCTGACTTGCGATAGGGTGTGTTGGGAGTGGATGAATTTTCTGGCCTCTGCCGGTGTTTCGAACTGAAAACGAATAGGACAACACTTTTCATGTTGACTCTTCTTCAGCCTGTAGTACTTAGTCTTGGAGTTGGGCATTTTCGCCTCACTAAGTAGGATGCACTGTACCCGTTTTAGTGCCTCATTGTCCAGGACGTTGCAGACAATAGCATTTAGTTTAGCATCGAGTCGTTTTGTTACTTCTGTAGTAACAAAGTTAATTAGGTTATCCACCTTAGATATCGATTCATTGTCAAGTTTGTTAAAGTCTACAGTTTTCATGAGAATAGTTAAAGGTGTCAGTTCACAGACCTGCGATCTGATATCGCTGGTCTGATCTGATAATTTGGATATTTTGGTATTGGTATCAGAAATTCCAGGATCTACTGACTTATTGTTTTTTAAGTCCCTTAACTCGGCCTTAAGTTCTCCTATAGACAACTTTAGAAGTTCTATTTCTGAAGATAGTACTGAAATAGAGCTTGAAGGCTGGAGCTTTTCGATAAGCACATAAGGTGTAGGGAGGGTTTCTGTTTGAGAAGAGGGTACTGAATGTTTCGGAGTAGGGCTAATACCAGCTGTCAGTACAGTTTTATCCTCAGTTCCAGCTCGACGCTTACGACATACAAGTGAGTTTTGTGGCTCACTATAACTATTTGTAGGAAGTGTGTTGCTTGATGTAGCAATCAACGGCTTAAAATCAGTCATCAGTTTTACAGGGGATTGAGTTCGCTGCTTTTTACTTTGGTTAACCATAACTATTTGATATGAGACTTAATAGTTATAGGTATGGAAGTAGTAGAGTACTTGTGCAAGGGTTACAACAAGATAAATTTTATGTAACGAATCACGCAAAAATGTAACGCAAACGTTGGACGTACCGCTGCAGTTTATAATGTTTATAATGTTTACTTTTAATGGAATGTTATAAGATTTCGGTTTAAGTCTAAATTCTAATCTTCAATATGCGTAAAATCGGTCAGCTTCATGCAGGAATTACAAAAGGTTGCGTTATTGGAAGGTGATGTAACGAGATCAAAACTAGCATAATAGTGAGTTTCCTACTTCTTCTTTTTCAGAAAGGAACGCTGACGTGGCCTTACTTGTTATAAAAGACGACAATTAGCTTGTACCCAGGCAATTCAACCCTTGTGTGGTCGAAATAAAGACCTTCCTCTCAAATCTTCGTCCTCTTCCTCCGTTGGTTGTGGCTGCTGCTTTTGAGTGTTACAATTGGTGTCGGAGGTGTCCTAAACTAAGTCTAAATATGGAATCAGACTCATCCGAACCTCATGAAATAATCTCCAACCAAAAAGTCAGCACACTTACCAGCCACAGAACACATCCTACCGGTGCGAGGACCACCAACGTTGGACATCAACAGCGATTATGAAATGTGGAAATTTCGAATGGAGTCTCTTTTAACCGGTCTCTCCACACACGCCCTAAATACTCAGATTATGGGGGCAATGAGTGACGCCGCATTACGCCGTGCTATCGCTGGGGTATCTCCGCATCCAAGCCACTCAGCTACAACTGGCACATGTAATATAGTGTAATATAGTCACGTAATGGGGTATTTTATTGACGATTTGATAGTTTCTCCAAAACCATGCTTATATTTATTTTGAGTCGGGTATTCCAAACGGCGTCAGATTTTGTTGTGGGTTTTTGGGGTGGCCGCGTTTTGTTCTCTGTGTTGTTTGTAGTATACAAATTTAGAAACTTTCTCTATCGTCAAATATGCAACATCCCATTAATTTTCAACAGGGGATTAAATATAAGTAAATATACCAGTCAAAATGTGTCCTTTTGGGGGAAGAAGTGACTGTTAAGAAATCAGTAGGTTTAAAGTTTGGTACGTTACTTTACTAGAATCACCAGAGATATGTTCACCTCCTTATATACATCTCTGATGAGGTCAAGACTGGAGAACTGCATCCATGGCGCCCGTCCTTGTCTAAAAGTGGACTCACAAATTCTAGAAAGGTTTCGAAGGAAGGCAACACGTATGGTACTCGACATGGCTAACTTATCATACGAGGAAAGACTAGACAGTTTAAATCTCTTCTCCTTGTCATACCGTAGGCAGAGAGGAGATTTAATCACAATGTTTAAAATTTTAAATAATGACTACGGACCTGACCTATTCTTTCTTTTCCTTCCCACCAGGTCGGAACACCTTAGAGGACATAGCAGGAGAGTTCAAAAGCCAAGAAGAAATCATATTGCTGTTGAGTACTGGTTCTCACACAGAGTCATAAACTCTTGGAACCGACTCCCAGAAGAAGTGGTGTCTGCAACCTCAGTTGATTCGTTCAAGAAGGGTTTGGACAACCACAGAAATTTACTAGAAAAGGATTAACATAGGCTCCAAGCCTTCTCTCCTCAACCAATAAATCTGAATCTATTCGCATTGGATATTGAATATTTTCGTTTATTTGCATCATTGACATGTAACCTTTAAAAACGCGCAATGGAGAAGCTGCGAGCATACAGGAGTAAATTTGAAGAATCTCTAGAGAAAAAGAACGTCTTCACAGATTTCTTGTGCTTATGTGAGCAGCGTTCGGGTGTCAGTAAAGTTAATTTGGCTTATGGTATGCTATATCTTCATTTTTATTGAAAAGGAGTGATTGTCTTTCTCACCCTATATTTAGTTATCGGCTATGGAACTGATGTACTCACCTTGTTAGTGGGTGCAGTTTACCCTGCATATCGATCGTAGGTGGTTGAAGTTATTTTATTTTTCTTCTAGAGTTAAAGCCATAGAGACTCATGAGAAGGAGGATGATACGAAATGGCTGACTTATTGGGTTGTATTTGCATCTGTTCAACTATTCGAAGCGTGTACAGCGATGATGGTATACTACTTACCTCTCTACCCGATTTTGAAGGTACTGAGCTGAACTGGATTGTGTCGATTTTTATATTGATAAATACTGTTTTTTATTGTTTTAAATGAACTACTGAATCACCTTGCGTTATTATTTGGATGAGTATGATATTATGACAGTAGGCCAATGCAAACTCCTTTTAAGGCCATATTGTAAAAATACTTTTGCAGAATTTTTGTTGCTTTAGCCAAGTTGTGGAAAATACCCATCAGGACATTAGAGAGAAATGAAGTGAAATGATATCACTGAGACCAAGCGTTGCTTTTCTTGCTGCAAACTGTCTAGCTTTACCAATTACCTCATATATGGGAAATGGTTCTAGAAAATGCCAGTCTTTGTTTTATGGCTTCTTGAAGTAGGATGACTTGGAATGAAACGGTGCGAACTAAGAATTACTACTATGGGTCTTCAGCCACTGTTTAGTCCTGAAATACTAATGGTGCCTCTTAACACTATGACACTTGGTACATTGATCATCTGAGATGGCTAAGCGTTGGTAAGCTGCATGGGTCAGCCAAACTACGCTAAATCAGTTTTCATCCCTTCTTCTACTGCTAAAGAGTTTTGTGTAATGAAATCACCGTTGGTTCATTTATTTCGGAAACTGTATCCCAGCTAATCATTTGTTTTCAAGTGAATTTTAACTGTGAATACAAAATGAGTACTTAGAACCCTTCAATTTTGTCATCTTCATGAATATTATTGAAATACATAATATAAAAGAGCCAGTGTATCCATTCCATTGTCAGTCATTGTGGTTAAAGCTGAGCGGATGAACTACATGATTATTTAATCATAAGGATTAGAGAAATACTGTCTACAGCTTAGCTCATCTAAGCAAACAAGGATATTTACTAGGCGCATCTCAACCCATTTTTTCTTGACAAAATATCCTAGGCTTGGAACAAGGTACTGTTAGACACTAACTGTTCCCTACAACTGTGTGTAGACAACAGGCGTTGAATTATGTAGGAGTAAAGACATAACGAAAGGAAAGATCATTGAGTTAAGAATAAAGGAGATGTTAGATTTTGAGAGGGGTTGAGAACAAACACATCCGTGTCACTGTAACGACTTTTTAACCACTGACTCCTGGTTTTGCAAAGACTTAAGTGATGTTCAAATCACAGACCTTTAAGTTCTTGTTTTTACTACTACCACTCTATATAGAACTCCCTTACTACAACAATTTTCACATTTGATTGGACATTAGTGACTAGTGTGATGTGCCTAGTCCTTACTTTGTTGCAGACTGTATTCTATCAGCCAGGTTTGTAATTTGACCACCATTCTAGGGGACTCGCCATCACGGTGCATATTGGTTTGGTGATGTTAGATGGTTGGAGGCAATCGGCAGAAAGCTCTATCTGACCTAGGTTTCGTGCTAGTCTGCACCAAAGTAAGGCCTAAACACATTACACTAGCTATTAACTAGTGTCCAATCAAAAATATCCAATACAGTCCTACAGGAGGTCAATTGCGAGCCCGAATAGCTAGCTCAGTGGTAACGTCTCTGACTGCAGGCAGCACTAGTTGACGCCGGTTCGAATATCCTCAGAAGGGACATGAGTTTGTAGATACACTTTACTGGCTGGTGAGTGCCAACTAGCACAAAACCTAGGTCTAATCAAGACTTCCTGTGGCCGATTGCCTCCAACCATCTAATTTTCACATCATGGAAATTATTAAAAATGTTTTTCCCCTTAATTTATGCATCTCTGTCAATTGTTTTAATTAAAAAAATAAGTATGATTAATATTCATGTATATTCTTTAAATCTTTCATTTTTACAGTGCATCTTTCTGATATATTGTATGGCTCCTATACAAAACAATGGATCTTTACTCATCTACAAAAAATTAATTCGACCATTTGTTCTTGAACACTCACCAGCAATTGATTCAGTATTGGATACTACAGTTAATATTGCTGGAAATGTAGTCGAGAATGGTATGTGTATTGATTACTTTTTCATCCTTATTTTTCTGGTTTCTTTTTTAATGTGTGTAAATGACCTAAGCTTATCAAAAGGTATGATAAATTAAAATCGAGTTTCTAAAGTCTAGATGTGCATACCAATTTGTCAAAATTATATATCTATATATATTTTAATGGTTGTTTATTCAAAATGATAAGTTCTTGATGTGGATAGAGTCGACCTGAACTGATTTCACCGACTAGGCAATTGGCTTGTTACCAGTGACTTAGAGTATGCGATTGATACTTCCCTCCTACTGACAAGGAACTGAGTCTTCTGAATAATACCTTGAACACCTCGCCTTCCTCACTGAGCGGTGTCATCTGACATGTAACGAGATTTGAAAAGAGTTAGGGGTGGTCACAACAAAGCCTAGCATCATTTTTGTGAAGTCTTTTATTGTTAGTTTAAGCAAGCTACGTAAAGAGGTGTAAACTGTGTGATTGGAGCTCTAGGGATTCTAAGAATCATCGACTTGAGAGTATCAGTGTTATGTTTCAAAGTTGTTCTTAATAGCTCTGATGCAGTCACTTTTTATGTGATCTCTCATACCCATTAAATCTCCCACAGATCTCTGCTTATTATAATTTTATTTTAAGTTTCTTTTCCCTCGCTTTTGTCTATCTTCGTGTACAACATGAAGTGTGGCAATTTGTGCACATGTGTGTAAAGTCGTACTCTGAAACTTAGTCATTCAGTCAGTCAGTCTAGTTAATAGTTGTCAAAGTATTTGCACAATTATTTGTCTTATTCTGCTAAATAACAATGTAGAATGACACATTTAAGCGAACAGTGCTTTCAATTAGATCTCATCAGGTTTAACTCTAGTCTGCCTACATAACTACAAATAAAAATTCAAATATAAACCAATCATCACGGTGTTTTGTCTATAGGATAATAAGATGGTGAATATAAATTGTGCAATTAGTCATAATAATAATAATGGTCTTATCAGTGATAAGGATGAAGAGGTGAGGCAATCTGTGATAACACGAATAATGAAAAACAGCATGATTAAACAAACAAATGTTCAGGTATACGTAGTAGTCGATAAAGGCTAATAAAAACAAATGAACCGATTAAGTAATGCTAGATTGTAAGGGAAGTAAATGAAATACAGTTTTTAATGAATATGTGATAAGATTAAGGGATCATAAGAGAAGGGTTGAAAATATAAACAAAAGGTGGTATAGAAGTCATTAGTTGGTTATGTCTTAAGAGGCCAACATGGGAGGGATAATGGCTGTACGAGCTTTTTTGAATACATGGTTTAGGTTTAATAGTTCGAATGCCTATCGCCTCAGCTGTGTGTAGTAGACGAATACGAAGTCTATTGGAAAGATTCAGTGGGATACGATGAATCACTTTGAAGGCTCTCGTTTTCTCGATTACATGACCACTATCAATTAAGTGTGACAAAATTGAACTGTGGATTGTTTTTGTCTGTCCTTCGCCAAACCACGATGGGAGATGTTCACTAACACGTTGGCTAAGCTGTCTAGTAGTACGCCCAACATAACTGTCACCACAGGTCAATTGAATTGGTAAATGCACATAGATGTGGCAAAACTATCAAGCTTATCCTTCGTTTGCGTCCCAATCATTCTTTGGCTAGAGAATGACAAATATAGGTATGCTGCGTAAAACGTTCTCCGAATACTCCTGGGAAGTCTCTGGAACAAAATGCCACTTGATAAGTCACCATTAAATTGTAACTTAATAAGTAGAGGTTTTTTACGTGCAGTCATAGTCTCAGGTTTTACCTCTCTGATGTCTTCATGTTTCTTTATGAAACTACTCGGATAGCCCATCTCCGTCGAGGAATCGTGAATATATTCAAGTTCCTTTTGTAAGAGGTCATCCGTACATTTATCCTTCTCGCTCTGCTCGTAAGACATTTAACAACATTTCTTTTATATTTAATGGGCACGTAACTAAGGAAGTGTGTGTACTGCCCTGTGAATGTACTTTTTCTGTGCGCACTTCTCCCAAGTGATCCATCTTCTCGCCTACTTAGCAAGACATCCAGAAAATGTAGTTTATTATCCTGCTCCTCTTCACAAGTATAAAAGTAAGCCTTTATCGACTACTATGTCTACCTGAACATTTATTTGTTTTTTTCATTATTCGTGTTATCACAGATTGCCTCACTTCTTCATCCTTATTATTGATAAAACCATTATTATTATCATTATCATTACTACTATTATGACTAATTGCACAATTTATATTCACCATCTTATTATCCTATAGACAAAACACCGTGATGATTGGTTTATATTTGAATTTTTATTTATAAACTTATATATATTAGAGTTAAGCCTGATGATGAGATCTAATTGAAAGCACAATATCACTGTTCGCTTAAATGTGTCGTTCTAAATAACAATTCTTTCGCGCCACTCATTCTGCTTAGAGAAACAGTAGAAGTGTTCAACTGGTAATAGAAGAACTCAGTTTGTCGTACAATTGTATTCCTCTCTGTCAAGATCTACACAGTCGATTTGGTACTAATGTAGTTCAGCAGTTCGAATTTGTCATATAACTGTGTTTCTTATAAATATGTGTCAAAAAAGATAGTGATATGTAAGTTTCCCCGCCCCCTCCTCCCCAGTGAAATATTTCTCTTATGACGTAGATTTAATGCGCGTATACTCATAAAGATGTCTGAGCGAGCAGATTCACAACTTATCCTTCAGTGTTGGTTATCGGACTTCGTCATATTCATGTCTTTTTCTCCTCTTAATTTATGCATCTATTACCTACTGTACTTTACTGCTCCCCCACTCTGGGAGCCTTTCCTGGTCTACTGAAAAAAGGACTATGTCACTTTGAGAAGGGTATTATAAAGGTTGTTAGTAGGGCAAGTGATGTGCAACTTAGTCGGGCATCTTGTCACTACATTAGTTGATAGATATCTGAACAACTCATGCGAGAAATGGTCTAAATCTATATTTTCTGATCCGCAACACCCAGCCCCTCTATTCTCAACTCTCCCTGCCTTGTATCCCATCTGGTAGAACCAGAAGTCAGTACAAAAAATTATATGCTCGTACTATCAAGTATAGGAACTCAACGATAACATATTTGGCCAGCTCGTATTCTATGTGATAGAGACAATGTAAAGCATGAAACTTATGAATTACTATGTTGTTGGCAAAATAATCTGCCCTTTTATTATCTCCTATTTGTAATCTGTGGTGGCACTATCTCCTCAATTGACTAACAGTCCTAGCTACTCACATTGTTGTTATTATTTGCAATTTTTTTTGTATATCTATATGACTTGACTGTTACTACAAATACCAAATAAGAACTGGCATTAACAATCCTGTAATATTATCTTTATGAGTGTTTTTAAAGTTATTCGATACAATTAGATGCAATATTGTATCAAATACTGTAACATTAGTAATGTTTTGGAATATCAATGAAATGCTCACTAGAAACTGGCCATATTGAGGTAGGTAGTTATCTGGGGTTCTAGTGGGAAGTTGTGACCAGTAAGGTGCAGCAGGTCGGGTGTGAAGACAAATACTCGCCAGCGATGATATTGGCTAGTGGTCGTTCTGTGTCGTGAGTTGGCAGAAGCTGGAATTCATGAACTGGCCATTGGATCGTGTCCGAGTGGCTAGTGAATGGTCTCCGAGCTTGCTCGCCTTGTAAACAGGAGGTCCTGGGTGCGTACTGTTGGAGAGTCCCAAACTAGGCAGACGAAACAGCTGTCTGGCAGTACTCCCAGCTTGTTTTCCTCTAACTAATGTCAGCTAATGATGAAATCCTGTAAGCAATCAATCAAATCCCTACAAACCAATACTTGATTACCTTCAATGTGTTTAAAAGCAAACGAACAGAAGTGTTCTCTAGCTGAAATTGGGAGACCTTAGATATAAAAATCTAGAACAAAGCATGACTGTAAACTTTAATTGTATCTGGAGTTCGCATGTCACACACACGCACAAGATGAACTTCATTGTCTATAAGATGCAAAGAGTAGAAGAATTCTGTGTCCTAATTATTTTGTTACAGAGAATTTTTATTTTAGGAAGAAAGAAATGTAACCAAAAAGTCAATTCCACTTGATATATATATATATAACCATGATTATAATCACAAACAATTTAACTGTATTTCTTACTACTATTATTATTTGATGCATAGACACCTTTGTTTCAATATCTTCAAGGGATATAATTTCCTAAAAACTATATATGTATTTAAAATATGCAAACATATATTGATAAAAACGGTTAAATAATACCCCTAAGATGTAATATTTCCTGGCATTCATTGAAAACAGAATTATCAGAGTGTCAAGTTACATAACACTCATTTTACTTAGGGTTTTTATAGACATTGTGTGGCTAGTTAGACTAAAGAAAATGGGGTCAGATTTGAAATGAGTGCTTTGAAGTTAAGTGTGTTAACTATATTGGGCTATTACTGGTCAGTTTCCTTCATTCCTAGTCTTCTCAGTGTGGAAAATCAAAATAAGTGATTCAGCGAAGAGACTCTTTTCAACGAATTTATCATCAAGCTGTACAATCGTATATATATATGATTTTTAAGAAGCTATATCCGGTGAGGAAATTGAATCTTAAGTGTGAATGCATAAAATAATAATAATAGTATGAAATGCAATTAAAACTAAAACGTTTGTGATTATAATCATAGTTAAATGTCCAGTGGCAAAACCATCAGTGTCATATACAGAATAATTCATAGAATGTATGAGACTTAGAAGGGGTGTGCAGTTATAGGATTAGTAGGTAAATCGAGTAAAAATAAAAACGTTACGTAACATAGTGTGAAATTTGATAGCATAGAATTTAACGCCGCGAGACAAAACTGATTTAGAATGACAAGTGGAACGAATACCAGGGTAATTAATGATAAAAATAACAATTGACCTAATAAAGGAAGAGTATACAAGTTGAATAGACAAAACGAAAAGGTTTGTTGCGCCAAAATACGATCAGGAATTACCATACTGTAGCATAGAGGGATTGAGACCATGAAAGTTGGAGGGCTTAAACGAACTTTTTCTGTTTTGATGATCAAAGCCCCAGAAATACGGATGAGTCGGGTACGTAGATTTCGGTATATTACTTTTTGCCCTGTAGATGACTTTAGAGGCGGAGGCTGTAGAGATAGGGTGATCATTATCGACCAGATGTTCAATGATCGCGCTTCTTATTGCTCCACTTCCACCTTTTCGTAATCATACAGGATAGTGTTCTTGCATCCTCTTGGACAAAATTCGAGTCGAACGACCGATATACCTGACTTCACACGAGTAGGTGGATTGATAAACACACATAGAGTTGGTCAGCAGCGGGATCTTGTCCTTCAGGTTATTGAACAGTAATGGTCGACTAGTAAAGGCTATTCTCAGAGATGCAGCAGGGAATTTTTTTTCAGGGACTGTGATATCCTTCGTTTCATGATATCGGAAGCTAAGTCCCCCTTGAATTCCAAGCTCATGTAAAGTATTTCCTTGGATACGGATGATAAGTCACGTTTTATAGGATTTGAATGATTATTCTTGTCTATAAAACGTGGTGGAAATCCATTTTCTATTAAGAGTCTCTTCGCTGAATCACTTGTTTTGATTTTCTATATGTTACGATGGGAATTTTCTATGAGTTAAAAAATAGCAAAAATTCTGAGTATGGAACATGCGGTTTCAAGTTTTAGGCGTTGGAGTTTCAGTGATTGTGGTGTGGTTGCTTACAGGGTGGGGATTGTTGACATTAGATGGCGGAGGCAATCGACCATAGGAAGCCTTGGACCTAGGTTTCGTGTTAGTTGGCACTCATCAGCTAGGCGTATCTGTAACTGCCTTGAAGGAACTCGTTTCCATTCTGAGATGCTGGGCGGGGAGTTGTTAGCCTAACGCCTTAACCTTCCCTCTTTATATGGGCTAGGCGAGGTTACAGGGTGCATCGGTGTCCAGGAGTCGAACCCGAGTCTGGCGATCATTCTGTCATTGAACAATCGATGCATAAGCTATCGCCAATCACTACGTAAATGTTATTATGAATATGGTATACTAAACTCTTAATATTTTTCTATTACTTTTTATGTAGTTTGAAGATATAAGTGTAAGTTGAACACTTGTGAATTGATTAGGCAATAACTTTTATCAAAGGTAATTATTATTTATTATCTTCAAGATTTTGATAATATTAATAGAACATGTGCTAAGGTTAATTTGTTAATCCCCAGTATTTTTCAATTATTGGAGGATTTCATCATGAGGTGATACAGGTTGGAGAAGGATTGGGAAACAAGCTGGGAGCGACTGGACAGCCAGCTGTTTCGTCAGCCTAGTTTGGAAATCTCCAACAGTACGCACCCACCACAGCCAGGGTTCGAACTCAGGACCTTCTGGTTACAAAGCGAGAGAGCTCGTAGACCATTCATTAGCCACTCGGACCCGATCCAATGGCCAGCCCATGAATTCCAACTTCTGCCAATTCACGACATAGCACGACCACTAGCCAATGTCACTGCTGAGGAGCATTTGTTTTCACGCCCAACATGCTGTACCCTACTGGTCACGACTTCTCATTAGTACCCCAAGTAACTACCTACCTGAATAGGGCCAGCTGCTAGTGAGCATCAGATTAATTTTCAATTATTGGTTTTGTAGGAATTTTGTTTGTTTGATTGGTTGGAGGATTTCATAATGAGCTGACATTGGTTAGAGAAGCATTGGAGAACCTTTAGGGAGTACTGGATATCCAGCTCTTTCGTCAGCTTAGTTTGGGACTCTTCGTCAGTACGCACCCACCGGGGCTCGGACCATTATGCTACTTGACCTTATACATATATGTATATATATATATACATATATATAAGAAGTACTTGTGGGAATTATTCACACTGAACAATTCAGTAGTTTAGAAAAACCAACAGACTCAGCGAAGAAATATGCCATTCCTGTTGAATTAGTTCCTCACTGTCGGCTGTCTATACACGAGTATACAGTTTTTTACACCAAAATCGTCTTTACCAATCAAGTGGTTATTTTAGAGGATCAATTTTAGGTATACGAGAGGTGAGGTCAAGTGGTTAAAGGTCATCAAAACATCATTTAATTAGTAGGTGTTAGTAAAAAGATATCTAAGTTTTGAGGGAAGCACGGATGAAAACTGATTAATTAAGGAATTAAGAACACAATATTCAGCGAAGAGACTCTTTTCAACGAATTTATTATCAAGCTGTACAATCGTATATATATCGTTTCTTTTATTTAAAAATTATATCCGGTGAGGGAATTCGATCAAAGGTGTGAATACATGAAATAATAATAGTAGTATGAAATGCAATTAAAATATTTTTGATTATAATCATGGTTTAATGTCAAGTGGCCAAATAATTAATGTCGTATATAGAATAATACATAAGGTGTATAGATTTTGGAAAGGGGTACATAATCATAAGATTAGTAGACGAATATAAAGTTTTACATAACACGGTGTGGAATTTGATAAGATAGAATTCAATATTGTAAAAATAAAAATATAAAAATTAATAATTTTGGGTTCAAAATGTCAAGTGGGTCAAGTGGAAAAGATTCAGAGTGAGAATAGTAATAATAATAATATTAATAATAATCGTAGTAATAAGGGAAGAGTACATAGAATAAATAAATGTCTATCCCTCTACGGCCAAGGCAGAAGTAGGGATTGTACATACTTCTTTTGTACACAAAGCTCTGGCTTAAAGTCATGAATTGCCAAGGCCTCAGCTGTCTTTAGAAGTCTATAACGAAGAAAATGCGGCAGGTTAGTATGGATTTTCTATATGATCTTAAAATCATGGTCAGGGTTGACAGAGTGACAGAAGTCGATCAGTTGTTCCAAAATAGAGCTTCGCACACACTTCATTTCTCCCTTGTAAAACCAAGCTAGAATATGTCCTCGTACCCATGAGGTAAGCGTCCTCTGACTACGGCCAATGCACCTTGCTCCACGAAAGCAGGTGAACTGATAGATGCACATGGAGGCGGCCAGACGGGGGAGCTTATCTTTTACAGAGGTAGAGAACAACTTTCGGCTAGTGAACATCATATGTAATTTTGCTGCATAGAACGTCTTACTGACTGATTTAGAGAGACGATTTTTGAGCATATCTGAAGCTTGATCACCTTTGAATTCCAAGTTCATAAATAAGGTTTTCTTTGGAACTGTGTCGGTGACCAGTTTAGACTGCTTATCTTTCATGTTGCTGTCAATAAATCGGTTAGGGTAACCGTTTTCTGCGAGCGTGGCTTTTAAGAAGTCAAGTTCCGAGTCAACGGAATCAGAACTACAAATTTCCCTTATCCTAGAGCAGAGCGAATGAATTAAGTTCCTTTTCCTGGAAATAGGCACCCAACTGTAAAAATTAGTCAGTTGTCCGTTCCATGTACGTTTCCGGTGGATAAATCTTTTGAGAGATCCGTCATTACGTCTGCTAAGGCACACATCAAGAAAGGGAATACTTAGTTCGGATTCCTTTTCTACGGTGAATTGTAAAGAAGGATGGCAGTTGTTGAAAGCAAACAAGACATCATCAAGAATTACATTTTTATCGCAGATAACGAAAGTGTCGTCTACGTATCTTCTATAAATGTCAAAATGACCGATGGTTTGACTAAGTTGAGAATTTTCAAGCTTTACCGTAAAACAATCAGCCAACAAGGGACTCAGTGGTGATCCCATGGCAATGCCGTCTCTCTGTCTAAAAATCTCATTATTGAAGGTGAACTGAACATTCAACGTGCATCTCAATAAAAGCTCTTTGAGGTAGATAGTCGGCAGTCCTATTTCTAAACTATGTGTATCAATACAATCACATAAGTAGCAAACAGTTTCCATGAGAGGAACATTGGTAAATAGCGACGTCACATCTAATGAGAACAGCATTTTGTCTGAGACATTGAAATCTTTAATGCTATCAATAAATTTAAACGTATCATCAATGGAAAACTTAGATACTTGCCTTCTGACTGGTTCCAGTATTTCAGCTAGCCATTGAGCGATTCCGTGGTAAGGAGAACCCGCCATATCGAGGATAGGACGGAGGGGTAATCATGTCTTATGAATTTTAGGTAGTCCATACAAACGTGGTATCATGGAGCCTACTGGTCGGATGCGTTCATATATTTCCGACGAGATTACTGACTTATTCCTCATGTTCTTTAAAACATCAGTCAGTTGATTTTCAATTAGATGTGTCTTGTTCTTTTCACCATCGGGTTTGGCGAATTTCGTTTGGTCGGAAAGGATCGCTGAGATTTTATCATTATAATCTTGGTAATTCATAACTACAACACCCCCACCTTTGTCTGGACGGCATATAATAATATCGTCTACAGTTCTTGATTCCTGTCATCAGTTTACTAGTTCAAAACCTAACTCGAATATTCTTCTGACTAAAGAGCATATAGATCAACTTAAAGAACTGGAGAAGAATGATGATATTATTATATGCCGTCCAGACAAAGGTGGGGGTGTTGTAGTTATGAATTGCCAAGATTATAATGATAAAATCTCAGCGATCCTTTCCGACCAAACGAAATTCGCCAAACCCGATGGTGAAAAGAACAAGACACATCTAATTGAAAATCAACTGACTGATGTTTTAAAGAACATGAGGAATAAGTCAGTAATCTCGTCGGAAATATATGAACGCATCCGACCAGTAGGCTCCATGATACCACGTTTGTATGGACTACCTAAAATTCATAAGACAGGATTACCCCTCCGTCCTATCCTCGATATGGCGGGTTCTCCTTACCACGGAATCGCTCAATGGCTAGCTGAAATACTGGAACCAGTCAGAAGGCAAGTATCTAAGTTTTCCATTGATGATACGTTTAAATTTATTGATAGCATTAAAGATTTCAATGTCTCAGACAAAATTTTGTTCTCATTAGATGTGACGTCGCTATTTACCAATGTTCCTCTCATGGAAACTGTTTGCTACTTATGTGATTATATTGATACACATAGTTTAGAAATAGGACTGCCGACTATCTACCTCAAAGAGCTTTTATTGAGATGCACGTTGAATGTTCAGTTCACCTTCAATAATGAGATTTTTAGACAGAGAGATGGCATTGCCATGGGATCACTACTGAGTCCCTTGTTGGCTGATTGTTTTACGGTAAAGCTTGAAAATTCTCAACTTAGTCAAACCATCGGTCATTTTGACATTTATAGAAGATACGTAGACGACACTTTCGTTATCTGCGATAAAAATGTAATTCTTGATGATGTCTTGTTTGCTTTCAACAACTGCCATCCTTCTTTACAATTCACCGTAGAAAAGGAATCCGAACTAAGTATTCCCTTTCTTGATGTGTGCCTTAGCAGACGTAATGACGGATCTCTCAAAAGATTTATCCACCGGAAACGTACATGGAACGGACAACTGACTAATTTTTACAGTTGGGTGCCTATTTCCAGGAAAAGGAACTTAATTCATTCGCTCTGCTCTAGGATAAGGGAAATTTGTAGTTCTGATTCCGTTGACTCAGAACTTGACTTCTTAAAAGTCACGCTCGCAGAAAACGGTTACCCTAACCGATTTATTGACAGCAACATGAAAGACAAGCAGTCTAAACTGATCACCGACACAGTTCCAAAGAAAACCTTATTTATGAACTTGGAATTCAAAGGTGATCAAGCTTCAGATATGCTCAAAAATCGTCTCTCTAAATCATTCAGTAAGACATTCTATGCAGCAAAACTACTTTTGACGTTCACTAGCCGCAAGTTGTTCTCTACCTCTGTAAAAGATAAGCCCCCCCGTGTGCCCACCTCCATGTGCATTTATCAGTTCACCTGCTTTTGTGGAGCAAGGTAAATTGGCCGTAGTCAGAGGACGCTTTCCACACGGATACGAGAACATATTCCAGCATGGTTTTACAAGGGAGAAATGAAGTGTGTGCGAAGCTCTATTTTGGAACAACTGATCGACTTCTGTCACTCTGTCAACCCTGACCATGATTTTAAGATCATATAGAAAATCCATACTAACCTGCCGCATTTTCTTCGTTATAGACTTCTAAAGACAGCTGAGGCCTTGGCAATTCATGACTTTAAGCCAGAGCTTTGTGTACAAAAGAAGTATGTACAATCCCTACTTCTGCCTTGG